TGCATCACAATGGAGTATACAGACTGATATTTTTGCTGTTTGGTTTGGCATTGCTAATAGACGCGTCGTCGAATGTTGTAACTGTTACAAGCAACTACTGTCTGGTGATAGCATTGCTCCTTGGTTGGTGGTCAACAACCTTCTTCCTCCGTGGAATACGACCGCTGACCTACTTAACACTTATGTTACAGAAAGTGCTTTTTGTAGATATGCTGAAATTTATACCAATCATCTTCATAATGTTTTTAGCATTCACTAGTGCAATGCACAGTTCGATGGTGGGAACCGAACCTGGAAACGAAGCATTTGCGAATTTCACTATCAGTCTGGTGACGATGTTTAAAATGATGACTGGTCATGAGGAGGTGAGCGGGCTTCAGGAAGCATGGATGCAGGGATCTATCCCAGTCTTTGTCCTTTCTGTCATATTCTTCCAGATGTTCCTCCTCAACGTCCTCATTGCTATTATGTCAGACACGTGCAGTAATGTCAAGAATTCCGAAAACCTGTTGAGGCTACAGAGATTGTCCATTGTCTTATTCATTGAAGATATACTTCCTGCATGGACGAAGGAGCCCATGGGGGAAGAAAAAAACATTTCTAGCAGTACGAGATATCATCTCAAAATTGATCGTTTGAGAGTGACAGACATGAATGAAGAGGATGCCATTACATTAGTGCGCAATTTCATAAAGAACAAATCAAAAGTAGAGGAGGTGGGCCATGATGTCAGAGCACAACCAGTCCAGTATCTAGTAGTTGACAACTATGGGACGAGTACATAACAAATCAAGATGTCATCGTCAAATTGACAAGTCACATTGAAAGTGTCAGACTGAATGATTGTGAAAACCTATATATGGCTAAGCACGCGCACTATTGTAGAGTTTGAGCAGCAGCAGTCGAGTGCTTCTTTGTTACGACAACTTAGTGTTCAACATATCTCTAAAAATGGTATCTCTGGAAAGGGTGCGACAAGTGTAATTCTCATTTGTGTTTGAGCTGGAAACTCCGCTCGTCATTGTGCTTGTGATGTCTGTGAAGCAGTTAGGCTCATCATGTATTTGTTGTCTATTGTTAATTAATGTATTCGATGTCATGGAATTCCCTTTCCAATAAGAGTGGATTCCCAGAAGACTGCATAGTGGAAAACAGTGGTGGTATATTGAAAGAAACTAACATCTGTTGTACCTAACTTCTAATTCCACCTATTTCCGTAAGAAGACGTCCACTTCAGAGGAAACACGTCCCACGAAGCGCAGTTTTGGAAAACTATTTTCACAGAAGACACTCAACGTCATCAGGATCACACCCACCACCGATGAATATAACTAGCCCAAAAGAAATTACCAGCATTTCAAAATGACTTTAAAGGTATTATATCCGTGTTCCTTGAAATAAGGACAATGTTTTAGGCATATGGCGTGTACGGTTCCATGTCAATGACAATTAAGACATGAGTGCATGTCTTGCTTAAAGGAGAATCATTAACGTGATATATATATACCTTTTGTCATATTTCCCAATTGTTGGTTTTGTATATTGTTATAATATTTGTTTCTTTGTTATATTGTTGTCGACTTCTATCTCACAATTGTACTTCCTTAAACCCCAAGGGTTTCCTGGTTAAAATTAGTCCAAACAAATCTTTTGCTGGTCGTAAGAGGCGGATAAATGGATCGGATGATCAGGCTTGTTGACTTAGTTGCTCGCGTGTCACTGTATTCCGACGGCGGTAGATCATTGTTATAATATCAATCACTGGATTCTATGGTCCAGACTCGATTTCTTCCTGCCTTGAATGATGCTGCTTGCGACGTTATACAACAAAGAAACAAATCTTTGATGAGGTCAAGTTCACACCTCCAAATACTGTGATTATTACCAGCATTTAACAAATGAACTTGAACTGGGTTTTGTAGCATATGTCTCACACGCTTCCTAGTTAATGACAGTTAAGACATGGATGCAGATTCTACTAAAAGGAGAGTGATATTAAAGTGTGACGCTCACACCTTTTTGATTTGCAATAATTTTCATTTATGGGTTTTGTTTATTGTTATATTTTGTATTGTCGTCGACTTCTGTCTATTTTATGATCGTACTGCCATGAGCCCCGTGGGGGCGGTCGGGTATCCTAGTGGTTAAAGCGTTCGCTCGTCACGCCGGAGACCCGGGTTCGATTCCCGACAATGTGCGAAGCCCATTTCTCGCCGTGATATTGCTGGAATATTGCTAATAGCGGCGTAAAACCGTACTCACTCACTCATGATCCCCGTGGGAATCCCGGGTTTGAGTTGGTCCCCAACAGGCTTTGCTGGTCGCAATAGGCAAATTAATGGATCGGATCGTCAGGCTCGGTGACTATGCTCATTACCGTGTCATAGTACCCCGACAGCGTGGATAATAATTATCAAACTATTTAAATCACAGGATTATCTGGTCCAGACTCAATTATTTACAGGCCGCCAGCTGGAATGATGCTGAATGCGACGTCACACAACAAAGAAACAAATCTTTGATGAGGTCATTGTTACACAACGCTTAGAATACATTGTTTGATAGGCAGAACTTAGAAGTTGACGGATGACAAGATAGACACAATTTTATGGATAACAACTTCTTTAATACTGTGAAAAGCGACGTTTCAGTATAGATCCTTATACCGTTGTCAAGCAAGACTGAATGAGGTCTTGCTTGACAACGGTATAAGGATCTATACTGAAACGTCGCTTTTCACAGTATTAAAGAAGTTGTTATCCATAAAATTGTGTTTATCTTGCTTTGAATACAGTAGCTGTGCTCAGTACATAACTTCTTTTTTATCTGCAATTGTTAAATGAGCAACTTGTCATGATAATGTGTTCACATATATCGTGAAGAAACGGCTATCTTTACTGTAACCGTTCTGCGTTCCGTATACGTTACTACGTATATTATAACTAGCTGACGGGTATTCTAATAATAAGGACCCCGGCGGTCGCCGTTCTCCGGTGTCTTTTTATTCCTTGTCAGAGACTTAATGACACATACATATTATTCTCTAGCGGTTTAATCGAATACTTGCATCATGTATTGATTTCATATCTGTTATCTGATACATGTTTGCTACCTTGTTCATGTATGGAAAATGTTTTCGTAACTGATTTTCAGGCAATAGCGCGATTATCTAACATTTGTAGCTATTTCTCGTGTATTTATGGTCACATTTGCCTCCTTGATAATTGTAGATATCTGGTTGTAATTATATCTTTAGTGGTACCGTAGGATAGATCATGTTAAGCGCTGTATGTTGATACTTACATCTTCCACATTGGTTAATAGCTAGTTTGCTGTTCAGGTTTCTCCTACATGTGTGTCAGAAAACACACTTTGTTTTTTGCTTCAGCATGTAGCATTTCCCCAGCTGACCAGGACGGGTTCTTCTCTCCGAGGTCCGCGCACACATATATAACCTTCGTCGAAATCCTGTGTCTTTACCATCAGGGATCGCCAGGCCGTTAACGGGTCGTTTTGCTACTGGGTGGTCATTCGAAACTCAGGTTTCGTTCGTAAGAAATTACGGGGCAGTTTTAATCTGGTAATGACTTACTCTGGTTGTATTGAGCTGAACATATTACATGTAGCTTGGTTTTTTTTTTAGTAATCTGTGGATAACCAGCTTTCCCGTGATTGGTTAGTTAAGGTCAAGTACTTATTAACGATTGGGAGTCAAGTTACTCATTTGGTCAAGTACTTTTCTAAATGATTGTGAGTCTAGATACCTAATAAGTTAAGTACCTTGTATTTGGGGGAAGTTGAGAATTTCCCAGCTCAGTCCAAGTGACTTAAGTCTATAAGACTAGTTTGCTATTCAGACGTTTTTCGTCTACTTTATTGTCCAAGAGAGTTATTTTGGGGGTAGGCCCTCTGTGTTTTCTTCTCCCTATTTAACCTAGACGGGGTTATTCACTCATTAGAGTGTTGACTTAATTAACTCTTAGGTATTAATTGGTCGCAGCCGACGTAATTGAGGTGTCTGTGCATCATGTCTATTGTGTTGTCAAAGTGTTGATTTAGCTACCTTCTTTTGTTTCTGTAATACAGCTGCTTAGCTTCTATATTTGTTCTGGTTTAAATAATCAGTGATCGTTGTTAGTGTCAACTGATTTTTTTATCCTTTCTATTGTCATATATACATACAAGTTACAACTAGCTGATGATAATAAACCTGTGAACCTACTACCACGTTTTAATTATTACTTTTTTTCTTGTTTAATGAGACCCGTGGAGATTCCGGGGTAGAATAGGTCTTCAGCAACCCATGCTGGCCGTAAAAGGCGACTATGCTTGTTGTAAGAGTCGACTGACGGGATCGGGTGGTCAGGCTCGCTGACTTGGGTGATGCATGCCATCGATATAAATTGCGTTGATCGATGCTCATGATATTAATCAACGAATTGTCTGGTCCAAACTCGATTATTTACAGACCGCCGTCATATAGCTTTAATATTGCTGAGTGCGGCGTTAAACAACAACCAATCTTGTCTAATGACACCCTGGTTTTTGGAGCACAGCTCTGTGACACCCTTCTACTATCAACCAAATTTTCACATTAATATAATGTTTCGTTGCCTCAGAAATACCAGTCCAAGTGTCATTTTTCAACGCTGACTGATTTTAAGCTTTGTTTGAAAAAAGCGATCAGCTGGCGTAAACTTTGGAACATAGAATAGAACACAAACGCGGACATAACACGAGCAGTTATGTGCATTTGGACGTGCTATCAATAAGAAATTGTCTATATATGAACTGCGTCAAATAAAAAGTGACGATGGCTACTGTGACTTACCCGGTTATAGTCAACGCGTTCACACGGACAGCCGAAATCATAATTCATTCCCCACATGGTACAATGTATGAAGCCCATTTCTGATGTCCCCGTGGAATATTGCTAAAAGCGGCGTAAAATTATACCCACTGACTAACTCACACACAAAGAGACACAAACATCGGCCAGGAACATTTCCAAAGCAGGGTCCCAGCTTTTAATATTCCTTCGAATCATGATATTTGAACGTTGGCTGTTTTAATAACAGAGTTGTATCCGAAAGGCTGGTCTTCCTGAACTAATTTAGTGGTGTCATCAAACGCGGAGTTACCTCCCCTTGTATTTTTGGCAGGTTCTTTCTTTTTACGACAGGAGAGGAAAACCAAGACGCCCACGATGACCAGACCCAGAGGCAACACGGCAAAAACTCCAAACCAGAACACAAGACGCTGCCCACACTCTGTACCGAAGGACAGCAGGTCGTCAGACTCTATGATAACATCTTCGCTGTTACCGGCAGTCAAATCCAGGACACATTTTGTTGCCGAGAGACATACCTGCTGCGCATGACTGGTGTCAAAGATCGTGCGGTTCACTACCAGTTCCGCAGTAACGTCAAGGGAGGTAACAGAGTGATCGTTATCCTTCGTGATCGTGACATAGTATGTGTCTCTGCTTACGACATTATACTGAAATATTAAATTCCCGTCTTTACATTCTGTTCTCAAGGGAATTACGCGCAATGAACAGCCATTACACCCGCCTAACGTCCAGGCGTTCCAGGAGTTAGTTCCCTTGAGCACAATAATCTGGACATTTTTATCCTTGCTTCCGCTGTCAATACACGCTGTCAGTTTCATCTTTGAACCTTCCAGAAGGTAGAAGGAATTCCTATTCACGAAAATGCCAGGGAATAAATCAGCTGCTTGTCTTGTCAGTGTAGAAATGTTACCACGTTCTATTCTGGCCGTTCCTTTCACAAGGAAAACGTTCATCGGATTCGACGACGTCACGTTGTAGGTGTTGCACACGACGGGGTTAAAATCACCTACCACGTCGGAGACGGCCGCTTGGCCTACGCCACCAAGGTCGTTGCTATGGTAACCGAACTTGAAGCTGGACACGTTGAGGTACGCCGTCACGGATATGATGACAATGATTGATACGTACAACAGGAGGGGATGACACTTGATGCCCGGACAGGACCCCACGGGGCAAAACATCTGGAAATAATGAAATAAAACGGTTCGATATTGAAGAGGAATTTTGTGTACAACGTCAGCAGTAGTAGTAGTACTAGTAGTAATAGTAGTAGCAGTAGTGGTAGGGGTAGGAGTAGTAGTAGTTGTAGTAGTACTAGTAGTAGTGGTAGTAGTAGTAGTAGAAGTAGTAGTAGTAGTAATAATAGTAGTAGTAGTGGTAGAAGAAGAAGTGGTAGCAGGAGTAGCAGTAGTAGTTTTAGTAGTTGGGGAAGTAACAGTCGTAGACCTAGTAGCAGTAGTATTGCTAGTAAAAGTAGCGGACAGTGGCAGTGGTAGTAGTAGTAGTTGTGTTTGTAAAAATAGTAGTTATTGTTTGTGTTGTGTTATTTCATAGGAATAGTCAAGGTATATATCGAGTCAAGACCAGATAATCTGGTGATTGATATTATGAGCAATGACACGGCATCAATCACGTCACCGAGCTGGACCACCCGATCTTCTAATTCTCCTCCCGGCTTACAAGCACAGCAGAGGGCCTCTTCTGACCTGGACTCCCTACCAGTTTCATTACGATGGTTTGCTCCTATACGACACCTGCCTGTAGTAATAGTCGTTGTTGTAGTAGTAGTAGTAGTGAGTGAGTGAGTGAGTATGGTTTTACGCCGCTTTTAGCAATATCACGGCGGGGGACACCAGAAATGTGCTTCACACATTGTACCCATGTCGGGAATCGAACCCGGGTCTTCGGCGTGACGAGCACACGCTTTAACCACTAGGCTACCCGACCTCCCCAGTAGTAGTAGTAGTAGTAGTAGTAGTAGTAGTAGTAGTAGTAGTAGTAACGGGGGGTGAAGTGGTAGTGAAAGTAGAATTAGTAGTAGTGGTAGTAGTTGTAGTAGCAGTAGTAGTAGTAGCAGAAGAAGTGGTAGTAGTTATAGTTATAGTAGTAGTAGTAGTAGTAGTAGTAGAAGGGAAGGTAGTTTAAGTAGAATTAGTAGTAAAGTAGTAATACTAATAGTAGTAGTAGTAGTAGTAGTAGTAGTAGTAGTAGTTGTAGTAATTGTTGTTGTAGCAGCAAGTAACAGTGCTAGTACTTGCTGTTTGTTTGTTTATTTGTTGTTTAAAGCGGCACTTTGGTACCAAGTCAGATACAACAACAGTACCACGGACGCTAATGTCAATAACGTTGCCTCCCTAAGATGTGCCATAAATCTGTTATCGTGGTTTGTCCTGTGGTCGTGGGTTTCACCAACGTTGCAAAACGTCTAAGACTTGCATAACTTCGGGATTTCCTCCCACATCAAACTGACGCGCTGTGCTTCTGAAACATTGTTCAAATGGGCGTTAAACCAAAGTCCTCTCACTCAAAGAACGCGCTTTCCATAAATTTAAACGACAAACATAAATGTTTCCAATATCATGGGTAAAAGATAGCGTTTTACCTTGCATTTCAAGCTGTGATGGGTGGAGCTTCTGTTCGGTGAACAAACGGTTTGAGCGTTATATACGCTGAGCCTGTAGATCGACCACTATGTCGTCATAGGTCACGAGATACCGATATGTCACATGTGGAGATTACGTTTCAGTGAGAAGTCGTATCGGTGGATAGTTGGATAGCAATACATGTTCAGGGTTCGTAATGAACATTATGGGGCCCCATATCCCCATTATCACACAACAGAGGTGTAAGGTGTCGTCGAATGTACTACTCTCAGTTTCCCCATCTTCGATGAATCACCTGTCAGAGGGAGAAGCTGGATACTCATAACTGACGGCCATTAGTCAAACAGTCACGTCGCACTGATATCGGCACGTGAGTGGGTATCAGCATGATAACAACTTCATCATTGCGGTCATGTAAACAATCGACGTGAAATACATGTCACGTCTTAAATCATGGGGATCTTACAAGACATTTAATAGGACAGTTTTGTGTTAAGGTCTGTTCTTTATTTATACGGGAGGATCGGGGCAGTGTGTGTGTGTGAGAGAGAGTGAGAGAGAGAGAGAGAGAGAGTGAGAGAGAGAGAGTGAGAGAGTGAGAGAGAGAGAGAGAGTGAGAGAGCGAGAGAGAGTGAGAGAGAGAGAGAGTGAGAGAGAGAGTGAGAGAGCGAGAGAGAGAGAGAGTGAGAGAGAGAGAGAGCGAGAGAGAGAGAGAGAGTGAGAGAGAGAGAGAGTGAGAGAGAGAGAGAGAGTGAGAGAGAGAGAGCGAGAGAGAGAGAGAGAGTGAGAGAGAGAGTGAGAGAGAGCGAGAGAGAGAGTGAGAGAGCGACAGAGAGAGTGAGAGAGAGAGAGTGAGAGAGAGTGAGAGAGAGAGAGAGTGAGAGAGAGAGCGAGAGAGAGAGAGAGAGAGAGAGAGTGAGAGAGAGAGAGTGAGAGAGAGTGAGAGAGAGAGAGTGAGAGAGCGAGAGAGAGAGAGTGAGAGAGAGAGAGAGAGAGCGAGAGAGAGAGAGAGAGAGAGAAATATGAAAGAGTCCTAAGACCAATCTCACCCACCCTATCATCACACACATCTTTTTGCCACTCTCACTAAAAATAGCCCGCAAGGTGGCGGTGTTTCGAACAGTGAGTGACAATGTTAACACAACCGAGTGTCGAGAGAAGCTTTTCGATAACCGTACGTTAACAAAATCAACACAGACCGTTAAACTTCGTATCAACTTCAATTACAAACCTTGTATACCACAAATGTCTCCATACCAAGATATACACTCTTCAAAAAAAGAAACGCACAGGTTGAGTTTTATTAAATTTATTGTACCTAATGAAGTCGATATATTTAATTTGATATCATAGATAAAAAATATGAAATTTTGGAGCTCGATAATCACATGTTGTCGTTGCACACAGGCATTGAAAACTGTTCGCTGTCATGTCACAAGGCTCTGCGGAACTCAGTATCAGTGACCGACCCGGCCAGCAATCACGCCTCTGCATCTCCTCGGCACTGACTGGATAAGGCGGAATTCTGCGCAATTCTGCTTGTAACGCGTTGGCCAGTCGGGGGAGTTTCTGTGGCGTGTTCTCAGGTTGACGTACACGTTGATCGAGTTCATCCCAGACGTCTTCGATTGGGTTGAGATCTGGTGATCTCGACGGCCAGGGCAAATCGTTGATGTTGGCATCATGAAGGTAGTCTACCGTAACACGAGTTGTGTGCGGTGTAGCGTTGTCCTGTTGAAACAGTTCCCTCTGCCGGTCAATGATTGGAAGAAGGTGAGGTTGAAGAATTTGATTCATGTAGCGATTTGCTGTCAAATTTCCCTGGACCACAACCAAGTTAGATCTCGTGGTGTAAGATATGGCCCCCACAACATGACACAGCCGCCACCGAAATTTTCGAATTCACGTTCACAATGTGGGGCAAAACGCTCATTTCGACGACGATAAACACGTTGTCTTCCATGTCGCCGGTGAAGAAGAAATCGTGATACATCGCTAAACCACACTCGCCTCAAGTTTCTCAAATTCCAAGGTTGTAAGGTATAGCACCAACGCAAGCCTCGCTGTCGATGAATCTGTTACAAAACAGGGACGATAACTGGTCTTAGTGGGTCGGATTCCAGCCTCGCGAAGATGGTTCCTGACAGTCTGGTCCGATATCCTCCTCAAACCAGGGATGCGTCCTGCAATCTCCGTAGCTGTGGCATTGCAATGACGTAAGCCGAACAGTAGATTGCAGCGACCCTGTGCAGGGGTGGAGTTGGTGAGTAGTGTAATTGGGACAGGTTCTCGGGAGGTTCCAATACAACATGTGACCTGGCAGTGAATCGTCGTTTGTCGTATCGTAGCCTGGTTATTTACATACCACCACGGAATACATGTAATGATAGCAGCGTAAAACAACATTCACTCACTCATTCTAAACGAAGAGTGAGTGAGTTGGATTTAACGCCACTTTTAACATTATTCCACGAGCACGGGTATGGTGCTGTCAAACCTAGAAACATAATCGGGGCGAACCGGGATTCGAACCCACAATCATAGGTTTCTGGCGTGCCCAAGGGACGCAACTCTGCACAGCGAATCGCGGCGCCTTAGACGACTGGGCCACCCGTGCCCAATTCTAAACGAAGAATCAGTGGCCGTAAAGGACATTTGCCTGTCGTAATTGCACATTTTGTAACGACATACGTCTTACTGATAATCAAGATGATAATGTGCATGTTGGGAAGCGTTGATAATAATAATTGTGTGTGTGTGTGGTGGGGGATAATTTCGAGAATGGAGGTAATTCCCGTTGCGGGAGGCATCTCTCGTTTTGTGTACCTTATATGAGTTCACGTGTCCTTGTTTTGGTTGGTTGGTTGGTTTGTTTGATGTTATAACGCCGCATTCAGCAATATTCTGTCAATAATCGAGTCTGGACCAGACAATCCAGTGATTAATAACCTGAGCATTGATCCGCGAAATTGGGATCGATGACATGCATCAACCAAGTCAGCGAGTCTGACCACCCTATCCCGTTAGTCGCCACTTACGACAAGCATAGTCGCCTTTTCACGGCAAGCATGGGTTGCTGAAGATCTGTTCTATCCCGGATCTTCACGACCGTGTTTGTTTTGAAACAACCACATCAAGTAACTCATTTTTTTTAAACAATATATTTTTAATACGCTATCATCGTGTTAACCAGAAACTGGAATTCTGTCAAGATAACTATGATAACTGGTGTGAATACTATCACCTCGAATATTTCAACATATGATCACTCACTCGTTAATATCGGTTGATTTATCACACACATTTTTAACATATTACTATGATTTTTAAGACTAAGAAAACATCAGGTCATATATCACAAGTCTGCTCGGAGTATCATTCGATGCTTAAACCTAATTTGATTTCAAGACCAGCCTATGTTTATTTTAGGCTAATACAATCTGAAATAAGCTAATTTAATCTCATTAATTGTGAGATGTTCGTATCGGTTTTTTATATGTCTGGTGTTTTAGATTTGTAAAGAAATGAACAATATCAATCTCCCTTCTGTAATTTGTTTTGTACCAGTACCTGTTTGGGATCCAATACACCTAATTTACCCGACAGAATAAGTTGTGTTAGGTGTCACTGTGTGCTAAATCACATGAATATTCTAACGTATTCTCAAAATCACGTTTCACCTGAATGTCATTGTGTTTTATGAAAAGTTTTAAATCAAACAGGAGGGTCACTGCAGTATTTGGAACCTGCTTCGGAGTCATTGGTTTCGTCTGCAACAAACACCATCTTGATAGCTCATTTGTTTTGTTTGGCAAGGTATCACCTGTCCTACAATCTTACTTAAAGAAACGTGTATCAAAGCATGATAAGACTACGAGTGAGGGGAAAAAGCAATTTAAACACCTTCTTCTGACCTGGGAAAATGAATTCGATTATGTCAAAGTTGTTGTTTCTGAACACTGGTTGCCATCAATGTTTTCTAAATTGGAAATGGAGAGAAACTTTAAAAAAGGAGTATTTTCGCAAATTTAAATAGTGATCAGAAAGGCTGCAATCTAAATTTACGGCTCTTAGAAAAAAAATCGAAAGTTGTCTACAAAGCCTCCAAATATGGAGGGGAACAAGTATCATATACTGAAAGTGTTGCCCAACGAAAACAATTTGCCTAGATAACAACATTACAAACGAAAACACGTGCTGGCAGAAGGCCTTGACTTTCATGAACATTTATGAACTCGACCCATCATTAGTACAGGCACAAAGGACAGATGGCCAAAAGTGTTTAGCTTATTCAACTGAAAACACAGTAACCAGTGATAAAGAAAATATGGACACCAATTTAGATAGACCTTTACATGTCAAAGATACGCAAAACATTTCAAACAAAGGATTTCATGAGTTGTCAATGACAATGCTGTTTTTGCCAAGGTCACATATTTTGTCTCAAAAGATAAAATAATACAATGATACTTTCAAAAGAGTTAACACTCCAGTTGGGCTGGGATGGGTACGAATTTACTACCCGGGTACCCACCCCCTATTAACCGACCCTACCCGGGTACCCTCTGTAGGTCTCAAGAGATAGGTACAAAATGTCCGATTGGGCATTTTTTTACCATAGCACTGGCAAAGCGTATTTAGATGCATGTTTTCAACAATCTGGTATTGCAGACACTGAAGTTGACTCAAGTTATGTCTTTATTCAAAGATATGAAAAGTCAGAAGGAATGGGTGCATAGTCAGAAAGAAATGCGAACATTTGTGACTTCATAGTTCATAGAGTTCTAGATAATCTTTGTCATTAAAAATATATCACGTGACTAACCACGGGTCCGGGTAGTCCTGTGGGTACCCGGGTCCTACTCAGTACCCAACCGACCCGGTTACCCGAGTTACCCGTCCAAGCCCTCCACTCCGGATCAAGATCCTAGTTTTGGTGTACTTCAATCCCTGAAAGAAAGATGAGGTAAATGTGCTTCACACATTTTGACAACAGGAGCAAGAGAGAAGCTTCTTGAAAGTAAACATCTGCATGTTAAACTACCTGGAGATGGTACTTAACTTTGCAGGTGACGAAACCCTGGGGTTAACCATACTTGAGGAGGAAAACTGTCCATCTGTAAATGATAATTACGGTCTAGCTGTGTTTTCAGGCAAGGAAACGTACAGGAATGTTTCAAATGCACTTACAGAAATCATTGATGAAGCCAGAGAATTAGATCATGTAGTTATTCTTGATCAAATATTTCAGCTGACCTTTTGTCTAGGCGGTGATCTTAAGCTTTTGAACATGGTCTCAGGAATATAATCATGTGCTTGCAACTATAGTTGTGTATGGAGTAAATGTCCATCGGAGGACGGATATCCAGTGGTCAGGTAATGAGTGAGTGAGTGAGTGAGTATGGTTTTACGCCGCTTTTAGCAATATTCCAGCAATATCACGGCGGGGGACACCAGAAATGGGCTTCACACATTGTACCCATGTCGGGAATCGAATCCAGGTCTTCGGCGTGACGAGCGAACGCTTTAACCACTAGGCTACCCGACCTCCCCGGTCAGGTAATGAAGTTTTCCAGGAAGCAAGAATGATACATTAAATATCTATGATGGCGACAAGAAAGTTAGATTATTTGCAGAGAGATAGATCTTGTAGATTACTTGTATTTGCTCATATCAGATCAATTGGTAAAACATCTATTTGTTGAGAGTATTGGACAATGTCCAAAGGTGTAATAGTGTGTACAACAGAGGTAGGTTTTGCAATGTTTTCAGATTTGTGCAGGGTCTTGCTGTGGAATTTCATTTTACAAGAATGATAAAGTTTCGGGAAGATTCATTTTCTGTGATGTTACCGGACCAAGCATATTGCGAAAACAGATTTTCTTCCTAAACATCCCAAAGTGAAGGAAATCAGCTTTCTGTGGATCGAATTCTCATCTATCTGCTCGATTCCTCGGCAAGGTGTTTTCAGGAGTCTGAAGTCGTCTCACTTAATGAAAGATGAAAGCCATATATATTCGTCATTTAACCCCACTCACTCACTCACTCACTCATTTACTCTTTATTAAGTCTTCTGTTTGTAGGTGCACCTGGAGTAAAAGTCAAAACACATTTTTTATAGCGGATGTATTGATAATTGAAACACACTTGTTATTCATAACAAGATTATCATCACCGTTTGTCATAACTGAAAATTATTCATCGCTGATGAATGTGACGAAGTTTCGCGCCATCGCTGTCACTGTCACTGTGACGTAAACCCTGCATCAACGAGGATGGGTGCACCGGTCATATTGCAAGCCGAAGAGGAGCAGAGGAACTCCACAAGACCACAAATCTGAAAGAAAACCCGGAGAGCGATCTAATCATAATCGTAATTTTAAGATTATAAAAGCTTGTAAGAGGCGACACAACTGACCATCGCATCCCGGCGACTATGGCGTTGCTCATGATGTCAATCACTGGTTTGTCTGCCAAAGACTCAATACTTTACAGACCACCGCTGGAATAGTGATGCGTATGGTAAAAAATGAACAGACACACCAACACTCAAGCTGAAAGAATCACTCAAACAATTGATAAAAATGTATTTGATTTAATATACTCGGTATATTTGCAAAGTTCATGTTAAGAAAAAAGAGACTTTCTAATAATTAATAGCGCAAACAGGTTTTATCAGTTACCTCCCTTACACTACAGTATTCCGATGTTAACTGATTTGCACCCCGTAAAGCCTGGTTAGGTTGTCTCCCCTTAACTGTTGATATGTCATTCTCAAATTGCTTGTTCATATTAACGGCTACAGTTTCTACCAAACCGCTTTCAGTCACCGGTTTAAGAAGCGTGGTTATAATCTTAAGCCCCCAAAAGGTATATGTATTAGGTTTTTGGTCTTTGGGTTTGGCCAAAACTAACTCGACAACGCGATCCTTTTCCCGCTTTCATTTTCGACGAGCCCGTTTTCAAAAGGTACCGACTATTTGCTATTTGGGGGAGAGGGGGGGGGGGGGGTTATCGAAAAAAAAATTGATCAAGAAAATTCTTTAAATAATTATTTATGCTTCAGACTGTAAAAAAATGATATTGCCTGCCTTAAAAATGTCATTGTTGCATTGAGTTTTTGACGAAACAATATTTAGGCTCATAGTTTTAATTTGAACATATCTGGTTTTGAAGCTGCAGCTGAAATCTATTCTCCAAACACAATCCCAGTCCGCCACGGGAGAAAAAAGAAGTACCTCAGTAATTTCCACTGCTTTCTTGGTCGGGTTGTTCTTCTCCACAAACACTTGCTGTAACAGTAACATATTCACAATTTCAGTTATTTTAAATATCGACAAAGTTAAACCTATCAAAAGTTCCGTCCGCTATGAGGTGAGGTGGGGTGAAATGGGGGTTAACGTCGCGTTCAAGATTGTTGCACTTATATAGCGACGTGCATGGACGTTTGTGCGTGTGGCTGCTTATCCTAGTACGAACTATTGCGAATTTATAGTGCTAGCCCACTTTGGTACCATACTGCAGTTCAACCCCACTCAGACACAGTATACTGACTCCGAGCCGACCAGTCCTTGTTTTAGCACCTTAATGCCGAACGCCAGACAGGGTAACAACAAGTACCATCTTTTATCGTCTTTTGGTATGACGCGACCGGGGATCGAGCTCCGGGCGGACGCTCTATCACTAGACCACGGATACGGTCCCATCTGCTATGAGGATTTTTTAATGGAAAAAATATTGTTACGCTAAAAGAATTGAAGAGTGGAACGGTAATATCAGCCACGTTATTGGATTAAGCAGCACTTATAACATTGCTCGATGGCTAAGTGTTAAGACATACCATTGCTTCATCAAACGTGAGATTATTCTTGTGAGCGTAATCCCTTATAAGTCCGTGGCTCACTGAAACAAACCAAATATACATACGATAAATGGTATTCCATTATTCAGATGCTGTTGAGGAGAAATGGTGTCTTGCGTCTTATACCCCGTTCACATGCACAACATTTACTCACGTTAAGTAATTTTACACATGTGTGACAATACAAACGTGCGTATATGTAAATTTATTATGCGTTCACATGAAGAGCATCGTTGGTGTGGAAATAAAGTATGTACATTGTGTAAGGCACACATATACGCCAGTCTGTTCACGACTCACGAAAACACATTCTTTTCTAATCAAAGTTGAATGAGAAGAGAGTTACTTCACCGAAAGTTTTCGCGTGAAGCAACATGTGTTTGATTTAATCTGTACACAAAGTTTTGACTCCTTGAAACCAAAAGAAAACACCGTCCGCTCAACTTTGTATATACGAATAAAAGTAGGCAACTGTTGACAATTTGTTTGGTGTTGGCAAAAGAACAAATATTAATTAGATCATCCTCTTACGATGACATAAACGTTCACATTGCAACAATATACACACAGTGCAAATTTACATTTAACATGGGGAGTGGACAACAAGTTTGGGTTTATTTGTTTGTTGTTTAACGCCACACTCAGCAATATTACAGCTATATGACAGCGGTCTGTAAGTAATCGAGTCTGGACCAGCCAATCCAGTGATTGACATCATGAGCATCGATCCATGCAATTGGGATACGATGACATGCATCAACCAAGTCAGCGAGCCTGACCACCCGATCCCGTTAGTCGCCTTTTACGACAAGCATAGTCGCCTTTTACGGCAAGCAAGGGTTGCTGAAGACCTACTCGACCCCGGATCTTCACGGGTTGGTCAAAAAGTAACTACTGAGATACCCTCAATTCTAATTTGTCAGAAACAGCTCCGGACTGACCATCATATCGGACCAGGACCAAACAGCAAGGAAAAGTATAAATAAAAAATATCTTTGCCCAATGCATGTCCAAGGAAACCTCTAATCTAATCTACACAGATCAGAATTAGTTCACCCAAAGTTCTTCAAGGGATTATTAATTACTTTATCTGGTTTATGATACTATATGTCAACTAACAAGGAAATGTATCACGTATACATGTTTGAGTATGATCAATACGTATCGAAAATATCATCATCATCATCATCATTGTGGCGGTTGGGTAGCCTAGTGATTAAAGTGTTCGGTCGTCATGCTGAAGTTCCGGGTTTGATTCCACACATGGCTACTATGTGTGAAACCCATTTCCGGTGTCCCCCGCCATGATATTGTTTGAATATTGCGAAAAGCGTCAAACAAGCCAACTCACTCATTCGTCGTCATCATCATCATCACCTCGTCGATACTTACTGGGCGCGTTGGCAAAGCCAGGACAGATGGCGTTGCACGTAATTCCATAAGGTGCTGCTTCCAGGGCCACGCACTATCAACACAGTCAGTACATGTGGGTGAGTGAGTGAAGTATGGGTTTAAAGCCGCTCGTAGAATAAGACGGTTGTATAACCAGTAAGGGTAGTAGGCCAAAACTTTGTTTGTGTGTTGTGTAACGCCGCACTCAGCCATATTCTAGCTATATGACGGCGGTCTCTGAATAATCCAGTCTGGACCAGACAATCCAGTGATTGACATCATGAGTATCGATCTACGCAATTGGGATACAATGACATGCATCAACCAAATCAGCGAGCCTGACCACCCGATCCAATTAGTCGCCTTTTACGACAAGCATAGTCGCCTTTTACAGCAAGCATGGGTTGCTGAAGACCTACTCGACCCCGGGTCTTCACGGGTGCGGTTGTATGGCGAGTAAGCGTAGTAGGCACAAACTGACGCCGGTCGGAGACATTTGGTGAAAGTCATAAGCACTGGATAACATGGATAACATGTTGCTGGCGTTATCCACATGCCCCTTGTATACCTCAAATTGTAAACAGACTATATACTATTGGTAGGGGATAATTAGAAGTAAGGGTAATAAACTCTAGCACATATAGATTCTCGATGGCGGGTTTCATAACATATTCATAACTTAATGATGTATTCAAAATGCCATTTTCAGTGTTTCCGAGAAACGTGTCCGCGTTGAAGCCAAACTATCCCCCTGGCCCACTTTGTGGAGGGATGGGGCTGGGTCAAATGGACAAAATCGAGGATTCGAACTCATGACCAGTCTGTAGATTATTGTGGCTTATGTGCATGAGTGATACCATCTGAGACCTTTACCCCGCCACTTCCCTCCCACACAAGTTGACAACCGTTACATACTACAATAACTGAACCAAGCTCACCCTCCGTCAGACAGCTGGAATATTACTGAGTTCGGCGTTAAACGAAAAAACCCCATGCATTTCATAACCCGAGTAGTCAAAGATCGAGATGCATGTGCAAAAGGCTCGGTGACACATTTCACGTGCATCTCGCAGAGCCGGCTCACGGTTCAGCAAAGATATCCGCAGGTGCTGGGGTTCTTTGAATGTTTGTTTGTTGTTTAGCGCACCTCTCAGTCCAGCTACATGAAGGCAGTCTGTAAATAATCGAGTCTGACCAGACAATCAGTCCTGAGCATCGATCCACGCAGCTGGGATACGATGACATACATCAACCAAGTTAACGAGCCTGACCACCCCATTCCGTTAGTCGCCTCTTACGATAAGCATAGTTGTCCCGTGCATTCGTCGATATAAACCTAAATTCTCTATCTGAAATATTAAGGTGCGCGTATTTACCACGCGGTGAAATGTTGTACAAAATGTTCCTGAAAAAAAAGTAACGTGACAAACCGTTGAATGTGATTGTATGTAAACCCGGTAATGAATTACCCAATTTCAAAATAATGATAAATCGATGCCATTGAATATGAAAGGCGATGATAAAACCCGAAATTACCCGTGAAAGGCCAATTAGACCCGATCTCGAAGCGCAATACGCTGAACGACCAGCCAGACTGACGACACCCATCTGTGACGACATGTTGATGATACGTCCCCAACCTGCAACATCACGGGATCGATAATAGATACAGACACAATTACAAAATACCTTTTCGTTGAATCTTTAGAGAGAGAAAGTTTCCAGTTACCACGGATTTGACTGCTACGCATGGACATCAGTCATTACCCGGAAGCAACAGCGTTATAATGTGCAACATTCTGTTGGAAACAACCGTTGCAACATGTTGACAAAGTATTGCTTAGGAAAACGCAATCAAATTTGAAAATGATTAGATAATACTAGTAAATGGATAGGTTGAGAGTTAGTGATGACACTGATGAACATTCATCAACATGGTATTAGTTCAGGGATTGTTTAGTGGTAGAGCGTCCGCCCGGAGAGCGGAAGGTCCGGGGTTCGATCCCCGACCGCGTCATACCAAAAGACGTTAAAAGATGGTATTTGTTGTTACCCTGTCTGGCGCTCGGCACTAAGGGGCTAAAACAAGGACTGGTCGGCTCGGAGTTAGTATACTGTGACTGAGTGGGGTATTCATGTTAAACTGCGGCATGGTATCTCAGTGAGCTAGCACTATAAATCGGCATCAGTCCGGACTAGTACAAGCAGCCACACAAACACACACACGTACATGTACATGCACGTCGCTATATAAGTGCAATAATCTTGGACGCGACGTTAAACCTCGTTTCACCTCACCTCACCATCAGGGATTGTTATATTCAATGTTGTATTTCTGTTCCGCATTCAACGTTTCTAGCCTGCCTATTGTAACAGACACAAAAGATGTGATTCATGCCAGGGTTCGACTTCAGACGTTCAGTCTGTGAAGCAAACACGCTTACCATTAAACTATAACCATTTTATAAAACATATCATCAATTATCAATTGACTGCCTTATATTGTTATAAGGGATGTAATCTGTGCTCGTGGGTTTCACCAAGGCGGTAAACATCTAAGACCTGCATCACTTCGGGCTTTTCAACATTAAACTGACACGCCGTGATATAAATGGAATACTGTTCAAAAGGACGTTAAACACAACCAAATCATTCACTCAGTTTTGGGCAGTAGATATAAAATTACTTTAAATGTGTTTTCCTGATAATTGTTAATGGCTAAGGTGCTCCGACCAGAAACAATATACCGATGGTCTCTGGCAAAACACATTCGTTACCCCCCTCATTTAGAGAGCTGCGCTAACAATATATTCACTGCCGCATATCTTTATTTCCGAGAACTGACTGACAAAATTACTTCGGAGAGAAAAACGTCTTATACGCTTAATTTACAAGATTTGTAGGAAACCTAACATCTTTAATTCCACATGTCGAATAACAATCCATCAACTGTTAGGATTATTACAATAAGGCAGGAGTAAGTAAAACCTTTTTTCAACAATGTTACCTTTTCATCAGTGAATAGATGAAATGTCATGCGCAAATATAGAACATTTTCTTATACTGGACAACATTCACCTTTTTTCTTCATCCCAGGTAGGAAGTGTTTGATGAGGAGGAAGGGTGACGTCACAGACACTGCCATGACGTCATTCCACTTGCCGAGAGGCACCTCTTCTACCGGCGCGTTGTAGATTGTTCCTGGAATATAACAATATAATTTGGGATATTAAAACAGAAAATGGGGACACCAGAAATGTGCTTCACATTTTGTACCCAAGTGGGGAATCGAACCCAGGTGTTCGGCGTGATGAGTGAACTCTTTGACCACCAGGCTACCCCGCCGTCCCTGAACAATGTTTAAGGAAACACCATGTTCTTCATTATCAGCACTTTTATTCCCTACCTTCCTTAATCACCCGTTGATACATACAGCTGATATGCAGTCAGTACTGCAATTTTGTATTGTTACATACGATGTGAGATAACATATATTGATCAACCATATACAAGTTTTTCTTTCAGAATGTGTTTCCTGCAGAGAATGTTTGCTTGTTGAGTTACACCGCGGGCATCAATGTTCAAGCTATTCACGCCGACCTGTAAGTAATCGAGCCTGGGCCAAAAGAACTAATGATTGATATTATGAGCGACGCCGTCGGAATACGCTGGCACTCACCCTACCAAGTTACCCTACCTGACCACCCGATCCCCTTTGTATGATCAGCAATTGTGCTGAATCCCTACTCAAAGCCGGATCCTTGCATACACAAAAACATGGTAACGGCACCCGTAAAGACCGGCTTAAAATAGGTCTTCAGCAACCCATGCTTGCCGTAAGAGGCGACTATGTTTGCCGTAAGAGGCGACTAACGGGGTCGGTCGGCCAGACTCGCTGACATGGTTGATGAATGTCATCGTATTCCCATTGCGTAGATCGATGCTCCTGATGTCAATCACTGGATTGTCTGGTCCAGACTCTATTATTTACTGACCGCCGTCATAAAGCTGTAATATTGCTGAGTGTGGCGTTAAACAACAAACAAACAAATATACAAACAAACAATCCTACAGGCCGCCATCACACAGCTGGAATATTGCGTGCGCGTGCCCGTCAACAGGAGACAAAACATCGCACCCTCACTGCGATTGATGACCCTGTAGTGTGCAGCGTGGTAATGTCACATTCACAAGAGTAACTGATTAAGAAACTATCAATAAAAAAACACCGATTCACAAAATTCTCCTGATTATTCCTTGACAAACAGAAGAAGAAAGCTTTACCTGCGTTATTCACAAGTATGTCCACCCCATCCGGGTATATCGTGGTCACGTGATCACAGAATCCCTGCACGGACTCTGCGTTCCTCAGGTCGACTGGGACAAAGTCTACTCTGCTGTTGTACTTGCTGAAAGAGATCCATCCTTTAGATATACCACTCCAAAGAAGTTAAGGACCACCCAATTCTTTCATTTTACTGTAGTCAATATATCATGTAAGGATAGATTAACTGTAGTAATATGAAATGATCGGGTGTTCCTTTACTTCTTGTGAGTAGTATGTATGCATGTATCCATCTATATGACGGCGGCCTGCAAATAATGGAGTCTAGGACAGACTTCAGTGGTTGATCACCGATCCACGCCGTCAGGGTACGCGGTCACACGATCAACGATATTCCCGAGCCCGAACATTCCTCGGGTAGTTATACGCATGTGCTATAAAACATGTGGAGTTTTAGTTCAACAGCATACAAACAAAACGCGGAAAACAACAAAGATCGAAGACAGGACCTGTCGAATAGGTTGTTTTTCTTAAATGGCAAATTTATTAGTTACTGAAAACATTGAAATTTTGATATGAAAGTAATCTAATCTAATCTCTGCACATAGACTTGGTACGAAATCAGGAAAATCACCAAAACCAATGATCGTAAAGTGTATGTACCCAGAAGATATAGTGTGGGCACTAGGTCTCCGTCCAAATCTTAAAGAAAACCGATTTGGTATATCCAACGATTAGGCTCTGTATATATCATCCCAGAGAATTCACCGTGGTATAATGAGAAATACATTAATTGTGGAATGTCAATTTTCAAGATTCTCTTATGGGTGTTTGGCAACAACTTGGTGACGTGTCTGTTGTTCTGGGGGTGACTTCAATGCTCGTACTGGTACGGATAAGGATTTCGTTGAAGACGATAAAATGAAAACTTTACAAATGGAAAACTGTAATTTCTTATGTGACGGTCTACAGATGAAACGTTGTTCAACTGATAAATCTGTTAATAAGTATGGGAAACTACTACTTAATCTGTGCTCTATTCTAAATATGAATATTGTGAATGGTCGAGCTGGTTCAGATGCGTCCGTTGGTGACTGTACATTTCTTGCGTCAACAGGAGCGAGTGTATTAGATTCTGTCATTGTGTCAAGTGATTTGTTTGCAACGTGCTCAGATTTTAATATCGGATCTCGCACCGAGTCACCGCATATGCCAGTTGTACATTTCAATCACGTGACTATAAAATCCACACCAGCTGATACCCACCGAGACGGGGAAGGTTTCAAATTTTTATTGGATAATTATTTGGCTGAAAGATTTAGAGACAATATCCTATCATCCGATATATCATCTATGCTTAATGACTGTTGCACTCTTGCCTTGACCGATATCGATCAAGCTCTTAAAGTTTTTACTGATGCTATTCACCAGGCTGCGGACTTCATGAAGAAAAAGAAGAAAACTTATCCTGTAAAATCAGATCAACCAGAATGTGATTTCAATCGATCAGAAACGCTGAGGCTACTGAAATGTTTTAGAAGATCAAAGAACAGTGAATCACTACATTTATATATCACTCAACGCAATACATATAATGACCTAATAGGGAGACATTTTACTCGCTAATATAAATAACCCAAAAGAGTATTGGACTGTGCTAAAGACATATACACCCAAGCCGTCAAAAAAGGTACAATGTAAATATATCAGAATGGTTTTGCCAGGACAGACTGAAAATTCTGATACTGACTATAATGCTGATGATGCGGCCGCCTGTGTACTGGATTCTCCGCTCACTCAAGTAGCGATACAAGAAGCAATCTATAAACCAAAACATTATAAATCTCCAGGGGAAGATAACCATATTTCAGAATTTTTCAAATCCTCGTCCGATATATTGTTGCCATACATGGAATTGTTCTATAATGTCATTTTTGAATCCTCTATTTCCCTGAATCATGGAGTACAGGTATCGTAATCCCTTTGTATAAGTCAGGGGATAAATCTGATCGTAATAATAATAGAGGTATTTCCCTTTTAAGCACTTTAAGTAAACTTTATACATCAGTTCTTAATACAAGATTAGTATTTTGTGCAAATTCGTACGACAAAATTTGCGAGTCGCAAGCGGAATTTTGAAAAGGATATAGCACAACAGATAATATTTTCATTTTATTATTCAACACTACCTTTCAAAAAAGCGTGGTGAGTTCTATGTGCTTTTTGTGGACTTCAAAAAAGCTTTCGACTTTGTTAACAGATCTAAATTATGGTTTATATTAAAATCCATGGGAGTTTCACCCAAGATGTTCAATGCACTTGAATCTATCTATAGTTGTGTGAAAGGATGTGTTAATTCAAATAACATATTATCTGAAAGTTTTGATTGCCCTTCGGGCCTCAGGCAAGGCTGCGTGTTGAGCCCCTTCTTATTTTCTATTTTTATAAATGGGCTTGCTGAACAAATAGAATCTTCATGTGCGCCAGGGGTGCAACTGCATCCTGATATCATACAGGTATTTTTGCTGTTATTTGATGATATCGTCCTTTTTGCAGATACTGTCTATGGGCTACAAAAACTAATTAATGTTTTAAGTTGGTGATAAATACCACCTGTCTGTAAACTTAGCAAAAACTAAAATCGTTGTTTTTAAAAATGGTGGAAATTTATCAAGAGTCGAAAAGTGGTATTTTAACGAGCACCAGCTTGAATGTGTTTCATGTTACAAATACTTGGGAGTATTATTCTCTAGTTCACTACTGTTGTCTGCTTATGTTAATAGTGCATCAACTCAGGCAAAAAGGTTCTGTTTGGAATTATAAAATCATTATATATGTTAAATCCATTACGTCATGATCTATTTTTTAAAATCTTTGATTCCAAAATCAACCCAATTCTATTGTATGGCTCTGAAGTTTGGGGTGTTCATAATTACGAAGAAATAGAAGTTGTACAAATGTTTACCTGTAAGAGATTTTTATGTGTTAAGCAGTTATCCGCAAATCACGTTGTTAGAGGAGAATGAGGAAGATGCCCAACGTACATATTTGCTATTTAAACGTGTTGTTAAGTATTGGTGGAAAATAATTAATATGCCTGAATCACGTTTGGTAAAGAAATGTTATAACTTATTATTGTTAGACTGCAGTAATGGTAAAACTAACTGGGCATTAAGAGTAAAACACATCCTATTCTCTACTGGTTTTGGTTTCATATGGGAACAACAATTTATAATAACTATCTCAAGCTTTCTGTCGGAATTTATATACTCCGTCTAAAATTTTCTTGTGAACAAAACTGGCATCAAGCTCAAAATCAACTCTTCACAGTTTATTCAAAACAAATTTCGGCTTAGAAACATATTTAAAAGAATTATCAATTTTTGAATATAGATGTGCCCTTGCGCAATTTAGATGCTGTTCCCACCAGCTCCGAATTGAGACTAGGAGGTATAAAAAAAAAAGTTAAAATCTGAAAGGTTGTGTCTGGCTTGCAATCAAAATCGAATTGAAGATGAATTTCATTTTATAATAATTTGTGATCGATATGTACATCTAAGACGAAAATATATACCCAAAAAGTTTTACCTGTACCCCTCCATACATACGTTTAATATTTTAATGGCATCAAATAATATGTTAACCATTCGAAATCTATCCGTATTCATTTACAAAGCAATGAAACTACGTCTTGTGTAATTCACCTAAAATTTACCTTTGTATTATAATGTTTCTCTCTCACTGTATACTCTGTAATGTATAATGGGCCTGTGACCTACAATACATAATGAATAAAGACTATATATATGAAAGTGACTTTTATACCTTTGGTGAAACCTACGAGTAAGTGAACAGGGCTGACCAACCAAGAAATATAATTAGGGTAAATCTAGAATTCGGACCCAAGATCATAAGTTTCTGACACACCTAAGGGGCGCAACTCTGCCCATTGAATTGCGGTGCCTGGCGGCTGGACCACCTGTGCTCCTGTTTTGAAAGCGGACATTTTCATTACTAGTGAAAAGAACGATGTTGTTGGGGTCTTTTTCATTTCAGAATAAATAAAACTATGAACAGGCCAAAGCTTTAGCCAAAACTTCAAGATCAACGTTTTAGAAAGTTTCTAAATGCTTACCTCCACATCTGGCGTCCCAAATACTCATTCATATGAACAAAATTGATAAAGTATTTACCTTTTAAAGTCGTTGACGATGGAGTCTATCAACTCTTGACTACCGAGTCCAGTAAGAATTATTGAACATCCTTTCCCTGCAAGTTGATTGGCTATTCCTAAGCCGAACCCGGATGTAGACCCGGTTACCAGCGCAACCTTGCCTTCCATGATGCCCAAAGTTCTGAATACGAAACAAACTGCATTTACTGATGAGCGTTTTGGCTGGTCTATTTAAAACTTCGAACAACGGACCTAACTATGATTGCTAAAGAATAACATCATGGTACCTGTAAGAGGTTCGGATCATTAAAATATGTCAGTGCCATGAGATTTGAAACAGTCCCGTTATCCAAGGCTTGAAATGAATCGATCGGGTGGTCGGGCTCTGTTACTTGATTGGTTGTGTGTCATCGTACCCTGACAGAATGAAACATTGCTCATAATATCGACCCGTGAAAATCCGGAGTAGAACAGGTCTTCAGCAGCCAATGCTTGCAGCAAAAAGCGACTATGCTTGTCGTAAGAGGCGACTAACGGGATCGGGTGGTCATACTCGCTGACTTGATTAATGCATGTGACATAGCTAAAATATGTTCTGTTTGTTTGTTGCCGCACCCAGCAATACTCCAGCTACAATGTAAATGACGGAAATCTGTAAATAATCGAGTCTGGACCAGGCAATCCAGTTATTGATATCTTGAGCATCGATCCAAGCAATTGGGGTACGATCACATGCATCAACTAACTCTAACCCCCGATCCCGTTCGTCGCCTCGAACGACAAGTATGGGTTGCTGAAGACCAATTCTACCCCGGATCTTCATTGGTCGCTGGAATATTTGTTACTGCTGCTTAAAAAATAATTTCTCCCTCATTCTAATTTTCATTGTTACCACCCGATTGTCATTTGCACCTCTTTCGACCACAATGGGACCAGGCGAGCTATCCTGCCTCGCAATCCGTGCAAAACGGCAGCGATAGAAGCAATAGCGAAACGTCCCAGTAACAATGAAATCACGTACCGAAGATCAGACAAGTATTTCACACGCTCAGGACCTCCTCCAGTGGATATTCTGGCCGGTTCGATCCCCGGCAACATAATACCAAAGGCCTTAAAAGCATGTTGTTACCCTGCCTGGCGCTCGGCATTCAGAGGATAAAACAAAGACTGTGTCTGAGTGGGGTATTCATGTTAAACTGCGGCACTTTAAAACCGGCATTAGACCGGACTAGTACAAACAGCCACACACGCGTGTATGCACGACGCTATATAAGCGCAATCATTTAAACGCAGAGTTAAATTCATTTCACCTCACCTTCACACGTTTAGCATTCAGTGCGTTATCTGAGTGTCAAGAAGAACGTACCTGTCAGCGAGAGTAATTCGCCCTATTTTACTGACATGGAAGAAGGCTCTTCTAAGTTATTATTGGGGCGCTTAGCTATATATAGTTAATGAAGTTAACGTACCGTGTCTGCGAAACAACTGTTCACAAGTATCTATTCCGAAGACATTCAACCCAAACCAGGCCTTCCCCAGATAGCGCATGACCTTTGCAACCTTTGACCGACATTCTCGCATACGAAGTGGTCTATATGGTAATATACGCACTTAACGGTTCGCTTGTAAAAACGTGCCCACATTTGCATATGTATTTACATATATTTCCTCGTACGCTACATCATTGTTATTCTGTCATTAAATACAAGAAACATTGTAAAAAATCATCACTTAAAGGGCAAGTCCACACAGAAATAAACCTTTTTTTCTTGTACTTTTTCATGAAAAGTATTTACCAAACAATACAAATATCACAAGTATCTTATTTATTTTATTCATTAAATCGGTTCATATTTTTCACATTTACCGAGAGTTCTATTTCTATAATAAATACGCCATGACTTCTCACCCTTGTCGTCATTGGTGCCAATTGATAAGGGAATGACGTCATAAGACTTTATTAGACCCGTTTCATGTAGGTAGAGGTGTGTGATCTTCTCTTCTTGTTCTGTTCGGTGCCGTGCTGTTCAAAATACAACGCTAAGCACAATTACTCTAAAATTATTTCGTTTTCCAAAATCGGGACTGAGAAGACAACAATGCATGGATAACGAACCGTCAGATTCGCGGTGATGGTTGAAAGGGTTCGTTGTCTGATTTGCGCTTATTCGTTCATTTGTGTTGCGCATATTGACTCTTGCTGAGTGGCTGTCGTGTTCCGTGAGAGATTATACCTGCTGGTTCCAAAACTGATCTGAAGCGGATGGTGTACGATCCTTATATGGAACGGGCTAAAGGGACAGCACTCTCATGAAAACCCCGCTGACTGTGGTGTTTTTGTAATCAGCTGATGAACGTCAACAAATACAACTTCAATCCTTATATTGACAGATACATAAATCATAACAAAACAATCCATTAAACATGAAACGTTAAATATTTTATTATTTAAAGCGAACTTTATCAGCGCGGAAATTCGTGACGTCGTGATGTCAAACCGTCCCAAACTTTCCATTTGGAGTGACATTCCTTGGTTTTATAAACGGCAGAAAATGACGGCTACGGCAATGTCATCCGCTTGAAATAAAAGTTGCACCCGGTAAAGTTTGTGTTGGAAAGAAGCCACGACCCGGCTGATGCTGAAAATGGATTGCTATTGACTTTCTGTGAACTTTGGGTGTGTGTTTGAGTCATACTACGGCTGCTGGTGATGGGGATTACCGCTTGAGGCGGTACGGTTGGATTTCCCGAAGCAATAGACGACAGTGTGGAGCTCAGTGATCTCTTTTGATAAGTCGAGCATTCTGTTATAGCTTCGAATGGACGCTTCATTTCGGTGACCCGACATATACCTGATCTGTCTGGCTTCAAAGCCTGCATCATACCTAGCCTGAATCGATGTCGCTCTCAGTTTTCCCCACTTTCCTACCCATGTTCCAAATATCTATTTTAATCCAAACGTACATGAAATCATTGATAGCTAGCTTCAGATGCAGTACTTTGGGCTTACACATAGCCTCTAAGACTTAGATATACGCATACCATATCTGACTAGACCAGTTCCATGCGACAGGTATGTTATGCTAAGTCACCATTGCGCCGGAGTGTGAGTTTTTCCAATGATTTTAAATGTTAGTTTTAGACATTGAGGACTTCCTCTAAAGTAGTTCTGTACGTCTCCGTGCGATTGACAACGTAGTCACGTGACATACTGACGTTCATCTGGAAATGAACGACAGTCAGCTTGGTAGTGAGTGAGTGAGTGAGTTTGGTTTAACGTCGCTTTTAACAGTATTCCAGTTATATCACGGCGTGTCAGCTTAATGTGGGAGGAAAGAAGTGATGCAGGTCTCAGACTCAGCTTGGATGCGTTCACCTAGGCGGGGTCACCCGCTTCTGTCAATATTCTGTCATTAATTGTCACTTACATGCATCAATTTCAAACGAATTCTACTCATTATCGGAATTGAAATTCATAAGCATATTCAATTATTGCTTGTCATCAATCATCATCAAATATCATTATATACACATGATATCAAACAGAGACAGCAGATAGCACACACACATATATATCGGTGTGTTGTGATGTTATTATGCAATTTCTTCTGATCAAATAATCTTATGAACCACCTGAGCAAAAAATCATTTCGCTTGATGCAACAATGATATGATTCATATGATCAGTAGTTTGACCTTTGGGTACTTCTTTTTAAGTGTTTTGTTTGTTTGTTGTTTAACGCCGCACTCGGCAATATTCCAGCTATCTTCCTTATATGACGGTGGTCTGTAAATAATCCAGTCTGGACCAGACATTCCAATGATTTCACATTATGAGCATTGATCCACGCAATAGGGATACCATGGCATGCATCAACCAAGTCAGCGAGCCTGCCCATATGGGTTATAAGATATGATCGGTTTATATTATTTTGACAATTTGCGCCAGTTAGTACGCACAAGCGTCATATTTCATTTCCAAAGTGACATTTTACCTCCCAGAGTTGGACAATGCAGAGGAAAAAGAAGGTAAATTCATTTCTAACATGTTGATATACATGTACCCAAAATATGTGTATGCAGCGTGTTTAAGCATACGTTCCCTGCCCTGTCTAAGTTAGATGACAGGAAATACTAAAGGTTCTTGTTTGGCATCTACAACAGAGTAGTAGTATATTTAAACTTTTACAATGACATGTTTATCTCTGTTGTTTTCCAGTGATCCATTCACATAAATTTAGTACTGGTCTTCAGCAACCTATGCTTGTAGTCAGGCGACTAACGGGATGCATGTCATCGTATCCCATATGCGTGATCGATGCTCACGATGTCAATCACAGCATTGTCTGGGGCAGACTCGGTTATTTACAGACCCGTGGTCAATAAGCTGGAAAACAAACAAAAATGTTTCAATAGCCTTAACTATTGATGTCACCCCATGGGGAGTCCGAAGTAGTCGTTGCCTCAAGTAGCCTGTGCTTGTCGTCAGAGGCGACTTACGTGGATTGGGTGGTCGGACTCGGTGACTTGGTTGATTGCGTGTCACAGTACCCGAGTGTGTTAGTATTTGCTGGTGCCGTGGCTACTTGAAGCAGGTGTACCCACAACACCTTTTAAATTACAATGGGTATATTATACGTGTTTATTATTCTGTTATCAAATAAATGTCTTTGTTATATGTACCCCATAGTTTGAGTTCTGTGTGTGCTCTAAATGCATGGGTATGGTGTTATACGCTTCGCGGCGAAGGACTGTAGGAATGGGCTTCATACGAAACATTAGCCAGATGTAAGGAACCGAACTCGGCCGTTTCGGCGTGACGTGCCACAACTTCATTGATGGACCGTGACTAGGCTACCTTACTGCTATCATGGACATATTTCCTTCACACATAACATATTACCGGGCACAGTGGAATCTGTCGAGACAGGACTTTGACTAATCAGCATTTATAATACAAGTCGATATCAGTTGTGCCGAATATACTATGATTCATACAAATACTTCTTTGAATCTTGTTTCTATTTACATTTGTTATCCTCTGTTATAATATTCCTAATGAAGGCCTCGGTAAAAACCAGACTCACTTTCGGCCCCACAACAAGTAAAACGTTCATTTCGCCTGGATGTCAAAACAATGACACAATGAAGTCCAAAGCAGATATTTGACTGTACTGCACTGTACGCATTAAATGTCAAAAGCCCCTTGCATGAATGCGTGATGCGGATGCGACAGTGTAATTCTCTCAAATATTGAAGGAATTTCAAAGCTTTTTACACAGGGGTTGTGGTGTTCTCAGCATCCCGGTTAATGGTTCCGCGATGGCTCTAATGCCCCCATTTCACTACGACCACGAATATCCCGAATTACCCCGAATAGGAATTTTTCTTGTTCTTTGATAAATCTCAATCATTTCTTGAAGTTCTTGAATGAATCTTATTTGATTCCCAAACATTCGTACAGTACGCGGGAGTTCGTCGAATCGGCGAGAAAGTTTTTGTTTATCAAAAACTTTCGTGGAAGGGTCCCCGAATTGCAATTTCGTGGCTGTATCGTAATCCATTCGTAATTAATTCTTATGTTCCGTAACTGCTTCGTTATCGTTTCTTTTGCATTCTTTGCTATTCTTAGCGATTCGTGGCTCCCAAAATTCCGTGTCCCCAACCCGAAAACATCCCGAAACAGCAACGAATGTACCGAGTCAACTACGAATCATATAAGAATTAAGTAAGAACAACACGAATGGTGGAAATGATGGGTTGGCCAGCGATCGGGGGCTTTTTAGCCTTTCGGGACCAAAGAACATGTCGAAGTGTCAGGAAAAGTACCGATTTTCTACACGTAGACATATCGTTTCAGTCGTAGCTTATTCGTTGCGATCGTCCTGCATTCGTACATGATTCGGCATATTCGTAAATTAGTCGTAGATAATTCATACAATTCGCGCATGATCCGTACATGAATCTTGTAATTCGTACGTGTTTCTAGACCTTAACCCATTTCTGGCATTCTCAATAGTTTTCAACCCGATTAGCCATCAGTTTTCGTAACTCCGTCGTACGTTTGTCGTAACTGCGTCGTACCTTAGTACCTCCTACAGATTCTCCACGAAAGTGCATTATTGGCCGAATCATCACACATTTCAAAAGTTTCAGATTCGGGGTGATTCGGGATATTCGTGGTCGTAGTGAAAGGGGGAAAGGTGGGGAGGGGGTGCATTACGCTAGACGGGCTAGCGACGGGCTAGCGACGACACCAAACGCATGGTGACAAATGATGATGATAATGATCAATATGCGATTGTTTGTTCTTTAACGCTGCACGCAGCAGTATTCTAGCTGGTCTTGCCGCCAGTCTCAGTAACTCAACTGTCCCCTTGGTTTATGCTGACTGGCACTTTTTTGTGGCTCCCGGCACACGGCACATATAGCTCATCACTATACAGTGATATCTCTTATAA